ACGCTCTGTCCCTCTCTCTCTCTCTCCTTCAAAAATAAATAAACGTTAAAAAAAGAATTAAAAAAAAAAAAAAAAGAATTCTGCCCAAGGCCACACGTGGAGAAGGGAACGCACCGGATGTAGGACGACACCTGCCTGACTCCAAAGACATCCTCCTACTTACCTTGCTAATACTTATCAAACTCTGGTCCTCAGACCGTTGGCATCAGAATCACCTAGAGTCAGAGGCCTACCCTAGGCTTATTAGGAATCTCTGGGGGTTCTTCTGGCGGTTCGGTTGTGCTGACAAGCTTACGAAACTCGTCATTTGCGAGGCTGCCCTTCGGACTCGGGGAAGCACCGCCGCGTGTCCTTTCTGGGAAAGACCTCTGTTCCTCAGCGCGGCCTGCCCGGTCTCCGTGCATCATGGAATATGCCGCTTCACTTCCGCAGCTGGGGAAGAACGAGCAAGCAAATTCATGAATCATGGTTCTGTTTATATTTTGGTTGCTGAGGCTAAATATTTATTGCTTTAAGTAAGAGGTTCTGCCTTAATTAGAGTCATAACTAACCACAAGTGCACTAAAATGTGTTCTCATGACCATAAGACATGCATTTCTCGACAGAAAGCCAAATGTAACCAACACTTTTAAGGTGCCGGTGCTGCTGATCAAAGTTTGAAGGTTTATCTACACCGACAAATAGCTTTCGAAACAAAAAATAGTGCAGAGAAGTTCAATTTATGGACTTACCTATTGTTCTTGCTTACTGTAAGTAACACCTGTTAGGATCCTGTGGCATAAAGGTAAAAAGGTGTGGGCAATATAAAACTGAGGCTTAAAAAGCGTAGAAGCCGCATTTAATTTTGAAGCGCGTTGTGTCCACTTCCTGATTTCACCCCTTGCCCCCCTTGCCCTTGTCCTAGATGGGTGCTCTCCCCATTAAGTCACCAGGAGAGCTTTAGAAGATACTGATGTCCAGGCCCCATCCCGGGCAAATTAAGTCATAATTTCTGGGAAAGGAACCTTGGCCTGGGTATATTTTAAAAGCTCCCCTAGTGGGGTGCCTGGGTGGCGCAGTCGGTTAAGCGCCCGACTTCAGCCAGGTCACGATCTCGCGGTCCGTGAGTTCGAGCCCCGCGTCAGGCTCTGGGCTGATGGCTCGGAGCCTGGAGCCTGTTTCCGATTCTGTGTCTCCCTCTCTCTCTGACCCTCCCCCGTTCATGCTCTGTCTCTCTCTGTCCCAAAAATAAATAAACGTTGAAAAAAAAAATTAAAAAAAAAAAAATAAAAGCTCCCCTAGTGATCCTAATATGCATTCAGGGATGAGAGGGGGCCACTGTCCTAGAAGGTTTAATGGGCCAGGGGCTGGCTATGTAGTTAGACCTGGGTTCAAATCCTGGATCTGGCATTTGCTGGCTGTGTGACCTTTGGCAAATTACTTACCCTCTCTGAGCTTTGGTTTTCTTCATCTGAAAAACGGGGATAATAGTGCCTGGCTTGCAAGGTTGTCATTAGGATTAAATGAGATAATGCAGGGAAGCAGTTAGCCTTATGCTTGGGAGTACTTTAACGTGGTGCTTAGGGGGAGCTCAGTAAATAGGAGATATTATTACTGTAATTATTGTGTTTAACTCAAATGGGTTTCCATTAGTGGGAGCAGGTATCACTGATGAGAACTAGGGGACCAAGGGCAGCTGTCCTAGGGCTCAGCCTTAGCTCTGACGGTATTAGATGTTTCTCATAATCAGACTCCACAACTCTGGGCACCCACGGGGGATGCTAGTGGGATCTTTTGAACTTTGTTCCCTTAGCGGTGCCAACGAGATACTGGCATTTGGGGCAAGACAATTCTATGCTGAGGGGCATTTAAGGAAAAGAAGTGTTTTAATGTTTATTTATTTTTGAGAGAGAAGGAGAGAGCATGAGTGGGGGAGGGGCAGAGAGAGAGGGAGACACAGAATCGGAAGCAGGCTCCAGGCTCTGATCCATCAGCCCAGAGCCCGACGCGGGGCTCGAACCCACGAACCGTGAGATCATGACCTGAGCCGAAGTTGGACGCTTAACCGACTGAGCCATCCAGGCGCCCCATTAAGAAAAAAAAAAAAAAAGTTTTAATTGAAGTATAATGAACGTACGGTGTCCTATTAGTTTCAGGTGTACAATGTAACGATTCCACAAGGCGGGGCTGTATGTTTTATAATTGCTTACCCACACTCTGGACTCCTTTAAGATAAATTCCGCTAGAGTAGGAGGTCTGCGGGCCTGGCTGGAATATGTAATTGTGTCTTTCCCGTAGAGCCAGCAGCCATGGGACAGCCAGCACTGGCTGGCCGCTCTTGATGACGCAGAAGGGGGGATCGCTTCTCAAGTGGCCACACAGAGGGGCTTCTCTAAGCCAACCTCTTTCTCTTACCCCCTGAATCTTTACGTGGGGACCGTCCACTCGGTTGACAGGCACACTTGTTATGACTGGCTGGATTTCTCCTGCTTCTCCGGCTTTGAACCCCCTGCTGAAATAAGGCAAACGTATTGAAATATTTGTTTCTCTGAAAAACGAATCCGGAAAACCAATAGCCTGAAAAAGAGCGACAGAAGAGGCTGTGGCCAACAAGCAGAACCCCTGGTGGTGAAGACCAATTAGCAAATGTATTAATTAGGAGCTGGTGTATTCTTCTGGAAACGTGCTGGAGGCGGAGACCAAACCCTGGTGCCCGCGGCCGCCGCAGGACAGGTGCTCAGCTCCTGCTTTCTGGTTGACCCGCAGGACTCTGGGCTTATTTCTTAGAACTGGACACTTCACTCTTCCTTAGCATCTGGCCTCAAAGGCTAAGCAAGTCTGTTGGAATTTTGTGCGGCGTGGATATGCACATAAGCAGGCTCCACAGTTCCACCCACCGATCCCCCAAACTTCCGTGCAAATGCCCCTCCCGGGGGTGGAATTATCTGCAGAGTCCTAGCACGTGCGGTCGGTCGGGGATGCTTCCTCCCTGCTCTTTGGCCTTGAACTGCAGCATGAGTTATGCATTCCAGAGCCACGTGGGAGTGCGTTTCAGGCTTGCTGCAGTTCTGAATTCTCTGTTCCATGTGCGTGAAAAATTGAGAGTGGGCTCTGTCCGTATTTATGGGAGAGGTGGCGCCCGATGCGGAGAATGCATTCGAGACATCTTGGGGCGGGCCAAAGAGCTTCCCCTTCAGCCTGCCGAACCCCACTTGGTTTCGAGAGCCCCACACCCCTAAGCATAAACAGCCCGTAGACGTGAGTTGTTTTGTGTTTGGTTTCTTACTTCAACACTTGGGGGACTCCAAAGCTGGCTATGAGAAAATCCCAAGAATGCGGAGCATTTCCGGTGTGGGGTGCTGGGCCAGGGACATCAAAGGTTCTGTTCGCGGCCTCGCGAGTGCAGAGACTTGGGTCTCGTAGCCCCCTCCCCCCCCATCATCACTGCTCATATTCACGCCAGCCGAGCATGGGGAGGTTGCATGACCACAGTACGTGTGAGCCGCATACCGCGTTCGCCTTGGAAGGGCTTTCTACACGCTAACTTTGTGGAATCCTTGGCTCAGCTGGGATGAGGGTGGGGTGTGTGTGGGAGTGGTGGGGATGGTCATGGATAATTCAGTGCTCCATGCATTCAGGATGTTTCCATAAAGCATGACCTCATCTCCTCCAGCCTGCCGGTCCTCATGATCCTGGTGGTCACTTTTGACTTAGTGGTAACAAAAATCATTCCTTGAATTACCAAAGTGGAAATTCATAGATTGCACGTAGATTGTCCTTACCCCACCCATCCCCCCCAAGAGGCAAGAGGTCAGAGCTATTACTAATGCTGTCTCCACAACAAGGGAACGACTCATTAACTCAAGGAAAAACAAAGCAAAGCAAACCAAAAGACAACAATAAAATCCTGGCCAGATCAGTTGTTGGGCGTTGAGCAGATCACACAGCTGGGGGAGTTTCTGCCTTTCTCTCTTTTCAAATAATTGTATATATTTTTAAATGTTTGTTTATTTTGAGAGAGAATGAGCAGGGTAGAGGGGCAGAGGGAGAGAGAGAGAATCCCAAGCAGGCTCCACGCTCGCGTGATTCATGTGGGGCTCAATCCCATGAACTGTGAGATCGCGACCTGAGCCGAGACCGAGAGTCACCCGGATGCCCCAAATAATTGTGTTTTGAAATCCTAAACGGTCACGTTATGGTCAGCAAGAAGACAAGGTCATTTTTATTCGACCTGTTTGTTAAACACCTGCTATGTCTTCAGTGCATAAGGCTGATAAGGTCTCATGGAGTGGAGATACACCCTCAGAAAGTCAATGAACAAACCAGACAGCCTGAAGTATTACAAGTGTCATGAAGGGGTCGCCTGGGTGGCTCAGTCGGTTAAGCTTCCGCCTTTGCTCAGGTCATGATCTCACGGTTCATGGGTTTGAGCCCCACATCGGGCTCTCTGCTGTCAGCGGGGAGCCTGCTTTGGATCCTCTGTCCCCCTCCCTCTGTCTCTTCCCCGCTCATGCACACGTGCGTGCGCTCTCTCTCTCTCTCTCTCTCTCAAAAATAAATAAACATTAAAATAAAAGGGTCATGAAGAAAATGAAGCAACGTGGTTCCCCAGAGAATGACAGAAGCAACCATTTACTTATGTTGAATCCGGTAAAATAAAATCAGGGAATGCAAGGTGTTGGCTAGAGGAATAAAAATAGCTGGTTATAAATGAAGTCATTCCTGGGAGCCTGGGTGGCTCAGTAGGCTGAGCGTTTGACCCTTGGTTTCGGCTCAGGTCATGATCTCGCAGTTTGCGGGATCAAGCCCTGCATCAGCCTCTGTGCCGTCGGCGTGGAGCCTGCTTGGGATTCTCTCTCTCCCTCCCTCGCTGCCCCTCCCCTGCTCGCTGTCTCCCTCAAAATAAACTTGAAACAGTAAATCACAAAACAAAAAAAGAAACGATTCCTTTGCTGCAGTGATCAGAAACTCTCAGTGCTTTTTGAACAGTTGGAAAACCAACTACCTGCCTTGTCTCACAGGGGGAAGTGCAGCCAAGCAGACCACGTGGGAAGGTGGGCACCGGGTCCCGGCTCTGGCCTACTGGCCTGGCACCGTTCCCATCAACGTCACCAGCACAGCCTTGTTAAGGTATGAGACCCGAACTACCTTGAAATGTTGGGATTCGGGGCTAGAAAACCACGGACCGAGGCTCCAGCGGCTAGAAACCTCGAGAAGAGAGGCCTCATCGGCCACCTGCCTTGGCCAGGCGTTCCCAGATGCCTCCTACAGCTCTGATCGTAGCCACACGGATCTCCCCGTAGGCAATCCCACGTGCTGAGTTAGGGCCCACAGTGGCTCTTTGCAAGCCATCCTCTGGGGATGATCTTGGTGACAAGAGGGGACTGGGCGGGCTCTGTGGCCTTTGATGCGGAGTCATGGCGGTGGCTCCTGGCGTCAGTGCTCTACTAACAGAAAGGTTAGCGGTAGCGTGTCCCTTTTTTTGTCTTGGGCCCGGCAGACGGGAGGGAATAGACCGCGTAAGCCACAATTGTTCCATCCTTGGGGGTAGGGCAGGTGTCCTCAGGGTGACCGCGGGAAGCCAGCATATCGCCAGCAATCACACGGGCCCAAGAAAGGCACCTAGGTGTCCGCCTACCCTGCAGGGGAGGGAGAAGGAGGCGGCCCCACTGGGCTGGCGAGGAAAGAATGCACCTTTAGGTGAGGACATTCCTACCCGTGGCAAGGAAGCTTCTGCAGTGAGGCTGCTCCCTCTATTCGAAGATCCCACCCTCGCTCTTAGCTCCCTGTTGAGGCAGATCCACGAGGCCCCTTCCTGGGCGCAGCACGAGGCTGTGGTGGCCCTTCTGAGAGCGATTCCACGCAGCTGGGTAACCAAGACCCGTGATGGGAACGCGTCGCTCATCCAGATGGGGACTTCCTCTCTGTGATTCTGTAGTCACTGGCAAGGGGGCGTGGCCGGGCGCTGCTCAGGGGCTCAGAGCTGTTGGTCTGGTCAGAGACTAATTTACGAACCAGTTCTGTAGCCCAGTGGGCCGTGGCCTCAAGAACACAGCCTCTCAGAGGAAGACAAGCTCCCTGGGCTCCTTCCCACATCCCCAGACCCGGTGGGGAACCGGGACAGCCGTGAAGGCCAGGGGAAAGGAGGGGTTAACAGCTCTGACGGCCAGGGCGGGTGGGTAGGCACTGTCCCTGGCAGCCTGCGGGCCCCCATGACCCCACGTCAGCCCTGTGCCATCAGGGGGTGCAGGCAGGTGTGACAACAGCGAGCGCTGGAGTCTGTGATGTCAGGCTGGCCGGGAAGAGGGCCAGATGGACTGCTTTTTATGGGGCTGACTTGGTGCAGTCAGGCCAAGTGTTCACAGGCTGGGCTGGCTGCGCACGCACAAATAACTCGGCAAGCTCTCAAGTTCCGTCCCTGCACACCGAGCACACGCTCCTCACGTGAGAAGGGCGTTTGCACCTACGGTCAACCACAGCGCCATGATACCACGGCACCGTGGCGTTCGTGGCCTAAGGCCCCGGAGGAGACAACGGACTGAGGGAACCATTTGGTGACCCAAGAAAGTGAGTCTTGGTACAAGACCGCGTTTGCTCGAGAGCTCCTGGAATTCTACCAGGACAGCGCTGATCCGTTACATCGGCCCCTTCGGAGGATATTTTTTGGCATTAAAGTAGTCTCAGTTGAAGCAGGAAAGTTCATCTCCATAGAATTCACCCTCTGGCTGTTTCCTCACATAAATCCACCTAAAGCAAACTTGGGTGGAGCGTCCTTACTGTCAGGCCAGGCCACCAGGCGTCTACTGTTGTTTTCCATGACTCCTTCAGGGTCGGCTCTGAGGAGAATAGCCTTCAGATCCATTTTCAAGAAACCGATGGTACTTCATGTCCTTGGAAACCCCACCAGGCACTCCCTCCTCCCCCAGAGTACTTATCCCCTATTCCAGTTCTTTATTCCTCAGAGGGACATAGATCTCCTTTCAGATCAGAGGTAAGTCCCCTGAGCCATAGAGCTAAGGCCAGAATACCTTACACCTCAATTCTGGTGGCCCTGAGGAATTATGGGAAGAGAGTGGACAGGTTGATACAAGTACTCACATGAATGCAGAAAAGTGACAAATGCGTTGGGGGGGGCAGTGGCGAGGGAGGAGGGGTCCACACGAATTCCATTTTCCATTTGGTTCCCTTTTAGAGATAATCACTGTTAATGTTCCAGCGTGCACCCGCATAACGTAGCGAGGTCAAAGAAAGGTCTTGCACAGGTCCTGACCCCGAAGCCCAGTGACACAATTACAGAGTGAGGGAAATTCATTTATTCCACAAATATTTATTGTTGTGTCCAGCTGTGGGTCAAGCGTTGCCCTAGGGACTGGGGATGGAGTAGCGAGCAAATCAGACAGAAAGTTCCTGATGGTTAGGAGCTAACTTAGGAGGCCGGGGCTTTGGCGACACGTGTCGCAAGGGCCTGGTGGTTTGAACCTCAGCCTCTAATGCAGGTTAGCTCCACATTGGCACTGTTGACGTTCTGGGCAGGATCATTCTCTGTTGTGGGGGCCCGTCCTGTACATTGTAGGATATTGAATGGCATCCCTGGCCTCTACCCACTGAATGCCAGTGGCACCTTCACCCTGACCTGTGGCAACCGAAATGTTTCCAGGTGGGACCAGATGTGCCCTGGGAAGACACACTCATGCTGCTTGACGGCCGTGGCTTTTTTTTGTTTTTTAATTTTTTTTTAACATTTATTTATTTTTGCGAGACAGAGTGCAAGTGGGGGAGGGGCAGAGAGAGGGGGAGACACCGAATCTGAAGCAGGCTCCAGGCTCTGAGGCTGTCGGAGTAGAGCCCGACGCGGGGCTCGAACTCACAGACTGCGAGATCGGGACCTGAGCCGAAGTCGGATGCTTTACCGACTGAGCCAGCCCAGCACCCCTGAGAGCCACAGCTTTGATGTGATGTCTCATAGCCGTATACAAAGACGTGAAGGTTATGCTCTGCATCTCTGAGCTGGGAGGCCACCGTCTCTATTCAGAGCAGAGAACCTCTCCTGCGATTACTGAGGCAACACGAGGTGGCCACATCTCCTTTGGGAAAACAGCTAAAGGTTCTGTTTAGCCTGGAGACCGGAGGGTCCCCGGGGGGGGGGGGGGGGGG